AACCAGAAAGATGTAGAATAAAAAATAAATTTTATATTGATAACATAAAAAGCGAAATATTACATAGGTAATCGTTAACACAAATTGAACATTACATTTCAACATCCATGTGAACGTTCCAACATGTTCATAATATCTTTGATCGATCTTGCAATAGTCGTATCTAGCTCGATCGAAACTTTTGTTTTGTATTGGAGAAAAGTATTCCACATAACCTTTAAATTTGGACCTGTCTTCAACTCAAAGTTGTTGCACTCATTCTTTCCGTTATTGTCAATGGCAGGTGAACGGTACCTGAGCTTCACAATTTTTCAATTTTTAAAGTATGGTAATAGATTCTCCAATAGGTATTTCATATATGCAATAGAGATGTACTCATTGAACTTAATTCAATTGAGTGATTTGCCCCTATTAAAGTAGAGATATGTGACATTTCACTTGATGTTCATTCTGGTGTAATGTGATTTGGTAAGAAATATGAAATGAGAGTCATGTACTTATAGTAGTTCTAGGGCAATATGAACCTTATAAATTCTATCTTGTACCAGACGACGTTTTTGAGGTGCATTTCCAGTACCACCCTATTCTGTTATTTGGAGATGTATTTTCGGAACCACCGAGCACAAAATAAAATTCATAAACAGACATAAATAGAACATGTATTCATCACCAAACCTGAGTCTTTTCCAATTAGTGCAAACCCCATCCATTCATGTGGGCTATCAAGTTTCACCCTCTTTAAAATTAGACAAGCACATGGGAGCCCATACATTTTTCTAAGTGTGCAACCATACTTTGAGCTACCGGAGCCTATATTTTTAGCTTGTTTGGCTTCATGCAAAAAAATCTAGTTTTGATCAAGATATGTTATCCACCAACTGAGAATATAGATTGTTGTCTTTGAATATGTGTTCCAACACTATGATGTTGCGACCAAATGATATTTGTATCTCATTATGCTGATTTTGGATCATTTAGTTCATAGAGTCTCAATCTCTACACAAATCACCCTAACTATTTCCTAACCAATTCTTCAGTGTAGCATGGGCATACTCAACTCGGTTAGTTTTTGTATTTCCAAGGTGTCTACCCTCATTAATCCAAACACAAATAATATTTCCCTTTACTTGGTCCAGAGTTCTACTTTCAACAGATTTCAACAAGTCTGAATATTTCTTACAAACCTTCTCGAAATGTATAACAATATCAACATATAATTATTTTGTAGAAGAATTTATTATAGCATTCCATGCATCCATTATTCGTTCCACTATCATACTAGCTTTGACAATTATTTCGTCTTCGCCCTTAACTTGTTTCATCCATATCATGGGTTTAACCCAACTTCTCATATTCTTTGTGATGTGATACCTACAATGTAATGCGCAAGAAAGAGGAAAGACATCTGCGACCGAATTCATCAAAACATTATCACATTCGATGACAATTACTTTCGGTGTGTCTTCTTTGTCCTTTAACATTTTACAACACGCTTCTAAAGCCCAAGTAACATTTTCCTTTTTTTCGCTCTCTATAAATGCAAACCCGGCAGAATAAGTTTTCTCAGTATAGGTAACACGAACAATTTCGAATAGTGGATATATACTTATTGGTCTTATATGTTGAATCAATGATGAACACAATAGGGAAGATGTTGAACATATTTATAGGATCAGGACGAATCCAAAATATATCTTGAACGCTTACTCCATCCTCGCACGTTCGGTACCTAGATACATAATTATTATCATCCACAAGTTTTAACAGTTATTGCATTTCAGTTCCATCCCCCTTCAACGCCTTGTTGTTAAGGACACAAATATTATACACTTGCTTCATATTTGAGATATTATCGAGTATTTTATGTTTCAAACTTGCTAGTATGTTTTCGGGTTGCACCATATTTAATGTCATGTCTGAAACAATTTCCTTCTTTTCCGCCATGAGGCGACATGCAATTGGATGTCCGACTAACTTTTCAAACATTAAATCACATATCACATTAAATCTCCATATGTTATTTGACAAATGATAATCACACAACTAAAAGGAACATTCACATTTTCTTAAACATGTGTCAACTCGTTTGAATATTTGGATATGAGTTATATACTTCCCACTTCTTTCACATCTCATTGTCACAAATGTGACTCTTCTATCTAAACCATTGTCGAACTTTTCGATTAGAACACAAAATCCCAATTTGGATGCCTTCGTATGAATCCATTGAATCATATGATCACGAAATTCAAACTCTTGTCCATTTGTAAATTGGTTGCCAACATCTATCTCCTTTACATCAACACATTTGGCATCCAGAGACACAATAGGTTTGAAAAAAAAAACATTGGAGTGCATGCAAACAATAACATAAAATATTCAAAGATATATTCAAGTACATTTTGAAAATGAAAACAAACAGACTCCAGGAACGCACTTCCGAAGAAATTGATACAAAATCCAGAAATGCATTTTAAAATGCAACGTAACTTTTTTAGCTATAAAACAAGATTAATGTGAGCAATGAGGAACGAAACAAACATTTGTTACCTTGAATTTCAACTTCTTTTGCTCCTTTTGATATGATGAAACACAAGATGGAAATTTTGGAGTGCAAATCATGATTGAGAATGAAATGATTTTTTGTAAAGGTTTTGAGAAAAAATTGGTTATGGAGTTTTATCACGCTGGTTTCCGTTTTATTAAAAATCTTGTTTGGTATTTTTGAAAATGCATCTCCGGATATAACTGACACGCAAAGGTGGAAGGATTTCAAATTCCCGACTTCACAATTTCAAAAATGTACACTAGAAAAAGTCATTGGATAGTTAAATTGGAAATAAATTGTTAAAGTGAGTTCGGAGATGCATCTCAGAAATAAATTTTGAAAAACAATGTGGTGAGTCTTAGTTGGGGCGTGTTTCAATGAGGTAAAAGGTGCGTCCGGAGATGCATTTCCGAAATCAAAAATTACTTTCGAGTTTTGATAGGGTGTTTATTCACCTCTTAGGGTGAGATTATCAATTCTCTTAATATTATAGCAGTTTAAGTTTCAAGCTTTTCTAAGCTTTTTGATCTTATTCGTAAAATGTTCGAGCCCATCATAGGCTGGGCCGAAACATGTTAGGTAGTTTTGTCGCCTTTCCCATGGCATCAATCATCAAACATTAGTAGATTATGTTTACCATTTTACTATTAAAATTAGGGGATTTTTTAATGTATTCGATGATTTATCATGGCATCTCGTGAAAAGTCAAAAATATTCCTAGAATTCAAAGATGCATCTTCGAACGCATCATATGCACACACAACTCATTTGTTTTTAACCACACCCCAATTTTATGACTAAATTTAATATAAAAAAAAAAAAAAAAAAAAAAAAAAAAAGCATTTCCGAAATATCTCCATAAATGTATTTTTAGAATTTGTAGAATGTGTTTGAAACAAATGCTCCGTTTTTTTCTCAAAAGGATTTAGACATGTGAAGTAATTAATTGAAACTTCTTACCGAAATGCTTGCCAAGAAAAGGACCTTGTGTTTCAATGACGGGTAAGGCAGTCAAGCTACATGCGTCTGTCTGGTCCGACCGTTTTGCGGCTCTTTCTAAGAGACGGGAATGTAAATAGAAAATATCGTCTAGAAAAAGCCTTACAGCCTGGTGGTCGGCATAACAATAATGACATTTGTCGATATGTCATGGCCTGTTTACTAAAATCATCATAAGTTATTGATGTGTGCATTGCGATAAGAAATATTCTCCCATGGCACACCTAGAATATGGGGTCAAAAATTGCAGAGGTGCTGGATCCGAAGCGGTGACTGCTACAAGAATGGAATATTCTAGAGCATTTGCTTCTGAAAGAATTTGAAGAGTAACATATTCTCATGCCTGAATAACTCAAGCTACCAAATACAATTTATTGAAGCGTCAACGTAGATAGCACTGACATAAAAAATAAATATTGAATTGAACAATTACCGCTGTAATCATTCAGTAGAACAAGTTCAAAGACAAATAAGTTGAATTGAACAATTATCGTATGTGAAATACATCAACTTTGTTTCAAAGAACATCTTACATATTCTATTTTCGAAAATACATTTTAAAACTAAATTGTGACTAGAAAATAAATAAAATATATATGCATGGAATGCGTTCGAAAATACATCTTTAAACTTTAAAAAATATTTTTAAATTTTCACAAAAGTTTTATTCTACCACATAAGATGGGATAGAAAATCCCTCAAATTATTAAGTTTTAATTCTTAAACTTGTGACGTATGTCAATTTTAACCATGAGAGTTGTCAAAATGACCATTTATTTAAATCATCTAAAAATTATTTTATTATAAACAATTTAAAGATTATATTTTAGAGATTTGAAAAAAAGAAGTAAATTATGATTGAAAAAACATTTATGTTAAAAATTATACATGTTTGCATAAACACTATAAATATATTTTTATCTCCCTTCTATTGAAAATGATTTTCTCTTGAGCTAATCTAAAACAAATATTTTATTTTCAACATAAACATCCGTTTTTTTAATGATTTTTGTGAATAGTCCACACTTAAAATATTTAAGACAGCTTAAATGCTTATCGTGCTATTCAGTACTAAAAATATTCATATTGACCCATTACACATAATTTTCTTTAAGTTTGTTATAATCCCATAAAGAATATTTTAAGTTGAGAACAACTTAAAAACATTTAAGTTGTCCAAATATTTATGACTCAAGTTATAAAAATCACATTAAGCTGTGGATAGATTTTATTTTTTGTATTTAAGTTAAAACTGAACACCTATAATAGAAAGAAAAGAAATTAAATGATGAACATATTTGCCTCAATGACTACAAAAGTTAAATCCTGTTTGAAACTGATATAGTATGTACAATGGATCTCCACACAAGAGTGATGGTTCTGCAGATACAATTTCACTATGTTTTTAACACACAGAACAAAGTGAAATGCTCCACATGAACTACTTAGTGAGTTAACCTCCTTGATCAGTTGCTTCTACTGACATATGTGTTTGGCTTCTTAGCGTTGAAATCTTCCTTTGTAATTCAATATTTGACATACGCTCGGTCTCCAGCGCTCGCTCAAGCTTCAAAATATCATTGATAAATGGTTTTAGCAGAACATCTTAACAACCATAAAGCTCAAATGATTATTCTAACATTTGATAGATATTTGTGCATTACACTTATTTCGAATAATACCTTGGCTGCTCGGGTGCTCCATTCTCCTAAAATAGCTCTGAGTCTTTCATTCTCTTCTACATACTGTTATATGATAATAGCCAGAATTCTACTATGAGCATCAAATTTAAGAGTATTGTAGGAATAAAAAACATCTTAACTCCTTTTTAGTATTAGTAAAACCAGCGAGATACCTGATTGTTGGTCATGCGGACACGCTGGGTTTCTGAGTCCCTTTCAGCAATTAAAGACCGTGCAAGCCTTAGTTCAGATTGCATTTGGTTCATCTGTAACATAAATTTCAAGCGAGGATATTTTTAGTTTTGAGTAAATAGAGTTGAATATCTGATGACTGAATTCATTTTGTTAAATTCTTAGAATTTGGGTTGGACCCAACTCAACCTTCCAAAATCGGTTTGTAAGATGATGGATGTCTCGCACTTAATAACATTTTATCATGCTATATCTCATCCAATGTGGAACTCTGCTAATTCATGTAGATATTCAAATAATGAGACGGTGGGGATAAGACATGTCGTTCGAATCACTGACTTATTGATTCAGTGTTAAACTCAACGATACACCAATTTCTCAGATAAATAAATGTCAATATCTGATTGATCATGTTTAAGTATACCGAATTTGATGTTGCAGCAAAAAATCATTTTCATCGGAAGTTAACGTAAGTAAAACTAAGTTCTGAAAAAAACTGTGGTCATAAATATCTAGAGCATAATATTTAACTAATTGCTCTATTTGCGTATATGGGATCTCACAATTCATAGAATCTCATGATAAATGGCGTCCTTGGAACATTCCAGACTAGCCATCATTTTCAGGCTGGGATGAAAAAAGATCACAAGCTGGATTAATCAACTTCAAACAACTAACTTAGCTTTCATCCCTTAACTGTCCAACCTACCTTAAGGCCCTACATTTCACTTAATTGTCCAACCCAGTTACTAGAGTTATCTTAATGTAAACATACTGCAACCTAGTTAGGAGAACAAGCTGGGTACTTGAAGTTGTCTGCAAGAACATTTAAAATTAAAACAGATAATAGTTACCTCTGCAGAAATTGTACGCAATTCTTGATCACGAGCTGCCAGTAGATGAGCAAGATCAACCTGAAATATAAGCAATTTATTTCCTCAGAAAAATCTGGAGCCACAAAAATCAAGAGTTGTCAACAACTATGCATGTATGGAGATTTTCATTGCTTGCTTATGTGAACTGTACGTTTGGTTTGACTCAACTATACAATTCAAACTTAGCTAATTATAATTTGGCCTACAAGGCTTGAAATTGAACAGAGTTCAAGCTTGGCTTGGCTCACTAAGCTTGAGTGGCTTATGAGCTCAAGTTCAAAAATTAGGCTCAAATTTTACCAGGTTTATCCTGACATGACATATAAGTCTCTCAAGTGAGTTCAAGCTTGGTTCAGTGAGCTTGAGTGGGTTATGAACTCAAGTTCAGAAATTAGGCTCAACTTTTACCAGGTTTATCCTGATCTGACATATAAGTCTCTCAAGTCTACGCTCTGCTAAACTTGAGACATTGTCATTCTTATGCAAAATAATGTTTCAACTCATCAATGGAGTAGATGACAATAATAGGTTTAAAGGTAATTGAAACAAGATTTATGATATCCCTCAACTATAAATATATTCCAAAAGTTATTAAATAAAATGAGAATGGTCAAAAAGCAATAAAAGCAATTTGCTCCCTATTAATGGAAAAACTGGTTGTAGAGCTACGAGTATCAATTGAAAACTAGATGCTAACCAATCTTCAAGATCTCAACTGTCAATGTTGAATATAAAACTGTATTTTAGCAGGAAGGCTTTTGAATAGAATTTGAATAAACTTCAATATAGTACTCTGGTTTACATCACAAGATGAATTCAGAATGCAGTGTATCACTACAAATCTAATAATTCAATAGACCTTTTCTATCTCATATTGAATATTCTAGCTGGATAAGCCACAACAACACAAGGTCACTGTTAGAGACATAGACATAATGTTATAAAAAAAAGAGACTACACACAAGAATTTATAGTTAAGTTGACGTAGTAAAGAAGACTAGAAAGAGAACTAGTTTATCTGTGTCCATTATTACCTGAGATGTACTCCGATCTTCGGTTCGTTCATATTTACTTAAAGACTCTTGCAAACGAAGAATCTGCAAGACAAAATGTTAATTAATTAATTTATGTGCAGTAAAACATCTATACTGTCAGTACAAGTTAAAGGGTATAAAATCAAATAATTAACGACTGCTTCAAATCCTGAGATACCTCCTCACTCAAAAAATGAAGATTTTCACGCTGATATTGCAACAAAGCCATTTGTTGATCAGAGAGCCTACCATCATGGTACCTGTTGCATCAAGATATACTAATTACACAGTTTACATTCTTCATGATCCAAGAACTCAGTGTTTCATGTGTTTGCAAATGTAATTTGGATTTTATTGTGTAACATGAATGGAATGCATAAAAGATAGATTGGTGTGCATTCAGAAATACTAAAGTTTGCCAGACAAAGTTTGTAATTTGTGGTTCTTCACAATCCAGGAACCCAATGATTGATGTGTTTGCAAATGTGATTTGCCTTCGTGCTTTTGCATAACATGATTGGCATGCATAAAAGGTACTAAGTAGATCATGATTCCAGAAATACTACAGTGCCAAACAAAATTCTAATTTTGTGGTTTGAGAATTAAACATGGATATTGAATTATGAAGTTAATTACGAAAGAAACTAAATTACAAAATGTTTGCCTTAGACCCTCCAAAGAACTTGCTGGTTGTAGTGGTGAATATAAGGACTTCAGAACATCAGGATGTGAGTTCAATGAATTGTACTGGTGTATGTAACCTGTTTGTCAAAAAATACACATAGAAAGGATTACATTACATAAAACTATACTATGGTAACTACTATATAAAAATAAGATCTTATAATTTATAAAAGGTGAATGTGAACAAAATAGATACTCAATGCATTCTCTTTTATAAGCAAATTTTATTTTTTAGGTTCATTCAATAAATAATGTATTTGGACTATATATAAACCAGACACAAATTATTTAATGAATCTAAAAAGTAAAAGTTACTTATAAAAGAGAAGGGAGGGAGTATCATTTAATTCAATCAGTACGGTGGATGGGTATTGTTAAGAAATATGGTTGGGTCTAACTCAATCCTACAAAACCGGTTGATAGAGTGAGGATTACCCCCACTTATAAACACATGTTTATGCCATATATTGTCCGATGTGGGACTCTTAACACACCCCCTCACGCTCAGGACTAGACAACTGAAGCGTGGAAATAAATGGTGGGTGACCCGATAGCGGAAACCATAGAAGGTAGTCCACCGGATCTTAAACGAGGTTCTTGATACCATGTTAAGAAATGCGGTTGGACCTAACTCAACCCTACAAAACCGGTTAATAGAGTGAGGATTACCCCTACTTATAAACACATGTTCATGTCATATATTGTCCGATGTGGGACTCTTAACAGGTATAATACAATAAATATTTCCAGATTGTTCAGCCAATTAGAGTGCTGTTCTCCTCTCCCCAAGACTCACCCAATACATTACTGTTTTTCAAACAGAACAAATCTTAAAATTGTTTGATATTTCTATATATAATATACTGCATATCAATAAATGTTCCCAGTTTTATCATTCATTTAGCTGCCGTGGCACCTGAAGGCTGAAAGCATTCCTTTAAGTGTTCTTATACATGTTTAACATTTTTTTATTTTTTATATAATCTTTTGGCACTATAAAAGAAGTTAATCTTAATAGGAAATTTCTAGCTAAGACCCTCAAACAAAAATACGAAAGGATTATAGTTTACCAATATAAAGGCTCATAAAACATCCAGCACATAATGCTTCGACTACCATAATAATCCTGCAGAGTTTTCAGGTAACCAAAATAAGACATACACCTTAGAAGGAAAATGTTGCAGTTGTGAAATTTTTGATAAAATGATAAGAGAAATATATAGTTTGAATATTATTGATAATATCTTGATTGATATCAACTTCATACAAAAGACTACATTAATCCCTATTTATAGGGATGCATGTACTCAATCCTAAATAAATAGGAAAATCAAGAACAGCCAATATTAATCAGAAGAAGAAAAAAAATCACTGCATGATATGAAAAATCAAATTTCATTTGATTACGGCCAAGTTAAAAGCACAACTGCAAACAAGCCTAAACAAGAGGAAGCAAACAACCAAACTCTTGATCCCCTACCAAGTATGTTGCAGCTAAAAGTTCCAAAAATTGCAATGTATCAAACATCACTATCTACTAGCAAAGCCATCTTACTATAACACTATTATAAGATTAGGTATAGTCATTTAATCAAACATGCAAGAAAGCCTCATTGCCTTTGTTGTACTTCATGGCAACATGCACTGTCTCCAATAAAAAAAATAATTTGTAGCATTAATCATCAAACAAATTCATAAGAAAATTTTCTATTGATAAGATTCATATTAACCAGTCCTTCATACTTAGAAGCAACATTCTCTTGCTGATATTCCATTTATTAGTTTCATTGAATATATCCCATAAAAAATGTCTTAAATGGACAAGTATGACGAAATGATGATAATACCTCAATATTGCAGAGATTGACAGAAAACCAGTGTAAGGTTTCCAAACTATAACAAGTAGCATTGCAGCAGTACCTGGAATTAAATCAATTTGTTGAGAATACTTGCATTATAATTAAGAATCATAATATAAACTATGCATGTTGAAAACATTCATGCACCTCCAACATTTTAAGCTTTTGGGTTGATTTGGAACTTGACACTTGTCAAGTACGTATCAATTGACTTCACAAGGTAAGTATCATCTAAAAGTTCAAAAAGTCCAAACACTGAAATGCGTACCATAAGCGGTAATGGCAAAGGGTATGCGAACAATAAATTTCAACTTCTGGCTGAAACTATAATAGCCCTGAGAAATCACATCAATAATTAAAAACAAAATTAAACAGGAAAACAATAAATATAAAAGAAGTTAAGAAACCTTCAAAGATCTTTGTAGCAAAATTTCTTTTGGTAATTTTATTGTTTTATAGATCAAACTGTATTGAACTTTCGGATTTCAGAGTTCTATTCTATCAGTTAATGCTTTCAAAATAAGATGCTACTGTGACAAAAAAGTACTAGAAATTGAATGAATTACCTGCAACCGTATCTTATGCACTTGATAAACTAGATATTGCTGAAAGATTCCTGAAACAGCAAAGGCACAGCATATGAACCCCAATAAAAATGTACTTTAAATCTAAACTAGCAGAACTGCAGAAGCTTTTAATGCTTAGTCCCAACCCCAAAATAACATTTATTAAGATTATTCAGCTAGATAAATAGTATTACTTCTACACATTATCATTGACAAACACAATAACGTAAACTCCAAAGGGGCTTTTAGCCCATCTAATCCACCCCAAAAAACATAAACTCCAAAGCATTGTTTGCACTTGAGTTTGGATTCCGTATGGATTTTATTAGGTTTTACAAATCTCAAAGTGACTATATTGAATATTAGATTTATTAAGTAATAACATGTCAATACTCAATACATTAAAAAAACTTCAGTAATCTATAGGGATTTACTCTCATACTTATTTCCTTTTTTCCATGTTACCTTCTAAAGAAGGATTCATCAAATTCATTAGGTGCCACTCTTACTTAACCATGGGAGGATATTCACCCTCACGATCAATTATTGGACAAAATGGCTATAGTGAAAACCAATCATAAAGTTATATAATTTTTCTCCTTATTACTAGCTTCTCTCTTTCAAAAAAAGCAACAAGGGTGCAACTAGTCAGTAGCCATATCAATGAATAACAATTACATGTTTCTATCAAATTCAAGCTAAGAAGATACGAATATAGTTTTTAAGTTTTGAGGTCAGGGGGTGCATTAGGACTCAGATTTGCTAGATTGCTCCATCACCATCACCATTCTTTAGTAAGTAAAATACTCTGCAGGAGTTCTTTTATATTTTAAAGTAACAAAATTTAAAGTTGGAAAACATTTATTAGTTTTCTGAAATTGTGAGAACAAAGTTTGCAGAGCACATTAACAGAAAGAAGGAACATTGTCACACAAGCATTCAGATTCATTGTTCCAAAATGAAACAACTTATTGAACTTAATAAAAAGTGACTTTACCAACGATGGACATTCTTTCAAGAATAAAGCAGCAACAATGCAGAAAAAATTATCCCATTACCCAAAGAACTAAGCACAACTAAACACATTAGTTCCAGTTCCAAACACACCTGTCAACAGCATTAGAAGAACATCACAACTGCATAACACAGGAGAAATCAATCCTTGCACGGGACGAAATATCCATTGAGCTCCTACAGCCAAAGTAGTATAACCTGCCTAAAATGGAAGAAAGAAACAATAAGAAAATCAACTATTATAGTATTCTTAACACAACAATCCTATGTAACACGACACTTTAGAACGAAGGTGTGCATGATGATCATACTTAATCAATTTTATTTTCTTAAATTATTATCTATGAAACACAAACACCATAAACACGACACCAACACTCACACGTCGACACCTGCAATAATTTGGAAAAATGAGTCAATGTCAGTTTCAGACACCGAAACCATCTGACACACCTTTTTTTCCCAGAGGTGTTAGTGCTAAGGAGATTATTATCAGGTCAACCTATCTTGTGAATGTGTATGTGCTTCATAGCAACAGATTATCAAATTCAATAAAAATAAAAAATCATCATCAAAGATATTAAATCAACCATATATAAGAAAATTTCAACTTGCCAGTATCATGCAATAGAAAACACTTCCAACAATCCTTGCAGGCTTGCGATGAGCAAATAAAGGAGCTTCATGAAGTATATCCAGAAAGCTACATCAATGCATAACACGAAACATCAAAACGGAGAGCTTGATTTAACAAATTGAAAATTGGGAACTAAAATAAATCAAAAGAAAAATCGGAGGAGCGTGTTTACTTACAGAGCGTTTTCCTCTTGCGGTGTGGCTGGCGGAGAAGAGAATCTCTCCGTTGCCATCGCCGTGATGAGTGAGTGAATCGATGAATTGAAATCAAGGGTTCGGAAAAAGGAAGGAAAAGTTAAGAAGGTTCTTGTAGATGAATGAACCAAGTAATGTCATTTGTGAATATGGTAAGCAATCTGGATTTTGTTATTGATATGTAAATCTAATAACATCATCATTAAGTATATATATATATATAGTATTTTTTTTTAATGGTTAAATGTTTTTTTCACTTCAAATCAAAAAAAGAAAAGAAAAAAAGTTATCTAAAAATTAAAGTTCTACTAGCGTCAATTAGCAAAAGACTGGTGATTCCTACAAGAAGCTCCACAAAAGATTGATACGCCGCATCATTACCAGCTTCATGTTTTGTTAGATAGTCATCATAAGCATTTTATTTCTTAAGAGTATGAAATATTTGAACTCGTCATTCTCTGGTGAAAAGCTCTTTAATGTTGTGGAGAATTGTGACATAGTGATGTCAAACATTAACCAACTTTAAGATAAGTTTGATAGAAGAGTTGGAATTAGAATAACACATCAAGTCTTTGATGCCAAGTTCCTAGGGCATACGCAAACAATGATATAGTGTCATCAACTCAATGTGAAGGATGTTGGAATAATCAATATTGTCCGCAAAATTGTGAACCCAAACACCATCAGCATTTTGAATCAATCCACAAAAATCTAAAACATTGGTATTATAGAGGCTACCGCCATTAACATTCAAAATCATATTACAACATTTGTGTACATTCCAAGAGATTTTTCTCGTTGGATGAGACAAATTATGCTTGAGAAAATATTTAGCTAAGAGATTAACATAATTGTTGGGTTTTACTCATAGGTAGTGTGAAGTGCGGAAAGGTCGGGGGTTTAAGAGTATTATTGTAATTTGGATCATTAGTAGCTCTATATATACTTGTAAAACATAAATCCTAAAGTGTGTAATTCAGAACAAATCAATAAGATGGAACTATAGTTATTATATAGTCGCAGACGCATACAGTTTGGCCAAATCACGTGAACAAAACTTTTGTGTGTTTCTATCTACTATGATATGTATTCACGTAACTGTTCCAACAATTGGTATCAAATGACGCTTAATCCTAGAGGTGCGAAATTCGAAGTGAGTTGATTCGAAGAAACAAATAATTTTGGTTTATGACAAAGGAAGGTTAGGAATATGTTGGCTCAACGAGATTTACAAAAGGTGCTACGTGATGAGAAACCGGCGGACATCGCAACCATTGATTGAACGAGATGAAGTAGAAGGCCGCAAGTTTGATAAGACTTTATTTTCTAATGATGTGATGAATCATATCCTAGACCTTACAACTTTGAAATATGTTTGGGATAAATTGGAAAAATAGTACATGTCTAAGACGGTCATGAACAATTTGTTCGCGAAGCAGCGTCTCTATAGTCTGAAGATGCATGAAGGAGGCGATTTGCAGGCTCATATCAATGCTTTCAACAACATCCTCGCTTATTTGGCACAACTTGGTGTGAAGGTTGACGATGAGGATAAAGCCATTATTTTTTTGTGTTTTTTTACCAAACTCTTATGATCACTTGGTGACCACTCTCACATATTGAAAGGAAACAATCATGCTGGAGCAAGTTCAAGTGAAGTTTTTTTTGTGAAGGAAAGTCAAGACCGTGGTAGAGACAAGGTAAAACAGTGGTTCTGGAAAGAAAAAGAGGTTCAAGTCCAAGGATACAAAATTAACAGAATGTTATGGTTGCAAGCAAATTGACCATTGGAGGACGTATTGTCCAAACAAGTGAAGCAAAAGTAGTTCACCAAATGTATGAAGGTGAGAAAAATACACAAGAAGGGGGGTTGAATTTGTGATTAAAAAAATGTTTCATTTTTTTTAACTCAGAAGTTCAGAGTCTGTTAACAGAATGAATAGCAACGAAAAATAAAGCTAAGAAGTAAATGCAATCAACATACAAAAGTTATTTTGGTCCCTCTCCTAAATTGAGAGTAGTTCAGTCCCCTTGCCTCAACAAGAGTTTTTCACTATAATCAATCAGATTACAAATGCTTAAGTCATTGCTCAATACTTCTTGCTCAATCAACTTTGAATGAGACTTCTTTGCTTAAGTCACTGCTCAATACTTCTTGCTTAAACCCTCTGGTTCAAGACTTCCTGCTTAAACCCTCTAGTTCAAGACTTCCTTGCTCAATCAACGTTGAATGAGACTTCCTGCTTAAACCCTCAGTTTAAGACTTCATTGCTAAAGCACACATACGAGAGACTTTTTCTACTTTAAACAAACTATTTAGTAGACAAGTTAACTATTATACTTTGATATACAATCAAAAGTATAACATTTGTGCAATAATCACAAAGGTCTTCAACCTTTATAAGATTTCTAAGATAAATCTAAGATAAGAAATCTTAAGATCTTATGCTATAATAGTTACAATAACAACTCAGAGTTATGCTAAGATTTTTCTCTATGTTGTGATGTTGTAACATTCCTTTAAGTCTTAAGCTTCCTTTTATATAGATAGAAAAAGAGTCGCTTGAGGTTTGAACAACATCAAACTTAGTGAAAATGTATGCCAAGAGAGACGTTTGAGACTTGCATCTGGTCATAAGCTCTGTCCTTTGAATAATAACATTGTTCGTAGCTCATTTCAAGTAACTAGGTATCTAACAAAAGATAGTACATACTTAAGAGGTCATATATTTATCATTGAGCCTTGTAAAACCAAACCCTAGTTGACACTGTCCATAAATTTGGGGCTCTGATAAGACATGTCTGCTTTGGTGTAGTGTACGGATCAACTGCTCTCCACGTCTATTAAAAATTAAGCTGTCATCCGAAGCTGGATCATGAGTCCAGAGTCTGATGCCTTTAGAGTTTGATGAGTATATTCAGATTTTGATGACCCAGAATTTGAGTATAGCTTCTTCATTTATGCTTTCAGCATGATTAATGATGAGTTCTTTAGTTTATGATCCTGCACACTTGAACATATGTTAGGAAACCCTATTGTTCTTTCAATACTTTATTATCATCAAAACCTTTTAACGACATGGACAAATCTTGTTCTAACAATGTAATTCAGAACGATGATTCCTGCAGTGAAGATGATTTACTTTACGTTACATCTACAAAGTGCACTGATACATGAATCCTTGATTATGGGTGCTTCTACCATATGACGTTGCACTGGGAGTGGTTCAACTCTTTTAAATCAAGTGATTTTGGTTTTGTCTATTTAAGTGATGATAAAACTTGTACCATAACTAGAAATGGGAAAATTAAAATTGCTTTGGGTGATGGTGGCATGTGCACGTTAACTGAGGTGCATTATGTTTCAGAATTGAGGAAAATTTTGATTTCTCTGGGTACTCTTCAAGTGAATGGTTATTCATTCCAGTCACATGGAGATAGAGACATCATGAGGATTAACAAGGGTGCCATGACAATGATAAGGGCAATGAGGATTGCAGGCAACATTTATAAGTTATAAGGGAGCCCAATTATAGGTGATGTAGCATCTATTAAAATTGATAATAATGCAACCAAAATGTGGCATGTACGCTTGGGTCTGTAGCACCCCAAAATTTGCCCATCCTTTTTCTTATATATCTTGGCTTGTGTTTCATATCATTTTGCATTGGCATTTGGCATATCATTGATCTTAGACAAGGGATCAAGATATCTTATCTAACAATCAAGAGAAGAACTTCATTTTCAAAGCTCAATCAAGAGTTCATGCTCAACGTGTAGCAATCTTAAGACACAAGGTCTCCATCATCATCAAGACATATCACTCAGCAACTTTAATCAAGAACACAAACATTGATTCTCCTCCTCCTATCTCATGGATAACTGATTAGGGTTTCGGTTCAAAGGAGATTTATGGCAGGTTCTTTAAGCAAGACATGATTATAAAGCTCTACACACACCTTGAGGGTCCTCTACATGAGTTATATATCATCACAAGCCATCACAAGGGTCTTAGTCAGTGGAAATGATCCTAGGGTTTCATCTGGTCAACAAAAGTCAACTCTGGTTCAATTAGGTCAAATTTTAGATCTCAAGGTCAATCAAGGGTATGATAAGTATTTTCATATTTTTGGAACAAGAAGAATCAAGGAGAAATATAAAATCAAGAGTTTGACTAAATTAGGGGTTTGGCGAAAAAATTTCTAAGTGTAGAAAACCTAATTTTAGCTATTTTGCAACTTCCATAACATTCTCATTTTTGATCCAATGAAGGCAAACTTGCTATTAAATTAAAGAGGACATCATGAACTATAGATTTATGGAAGGTGGCATGTCCAAATGATTCATGGTTTGGTATATATGATGAGTTGAAGTTGAGAAAATGGAGATTTTGACATTTCAACATTTCAACGCTTAGAATTTTTCTAAGTATAGAAAATCAGCTTGAAATACCAACTTGCAAGCCGATCTTTCATGGTGATACAAGCTTCAATTTAATTTTCCCATAACATGAAAGTTGTAGAGAATCCTCCTAACTTTCTTTTGAGTACTAGATAATCTCCATTGGACATGTAGAGCTCAAGTTATGATGCTCCTAAGTTAGGGTTTCAAAGATGTCAAGATTGGCAAGTGTCTAGGCAGATTTTTGGACCAAACTTCCAAGACATTTTTCACTAAGTTCTTGATCTCAATTGAATTTTCCCATAACATAAAAGTTGTAGAGAATCCTCCAAGCTTTCTTTTGATTAATAGAAAACCTACATTGGATCCAAACTCCTCAAGATATGTGGCTTCAAGGATAGGGTATCAAAGATGTCAAATGTTCAACAACTTAGAATTTTTTCTAAGTTACTTTGGGAAGTTTTGAGGACACAACTTCAACTTGATATTTCTCGTTGATCCAATCTTTGTTTCAATTCATTTTAAACATGGATTTTTTTCCTTACACTTCAAGCTTTCATTTGATCTCAAGACCTCACAATTCGGATCAAAATCCACCAATTTATAGCCATCCAAAGTAAGCTTCATGGGTTGGTAT